AAATATATCCTACCCAGCTACCTACGATGCAGCAGACAGGAATAAATTCCCCGAGTGAGATCAATTTAAACAGTTGAGCATTGTAGTGAACTCTTGCTTTGTGAATAGTACTGGTCATAGCCACGGTGGCTGTCAGCCCACAAACATCTAACTCATGTTTGACCTCTAATGTTCACCATCACTGACTGCTTTGCTACTTCTGGGTTAGTGCTGAGAATTTTTCTTGCTTTTTTGAATGAACATGTACGTGGGTGGTAGAGTTGTAGAGAAAAGCATTAAGGGTGCAACCCACTCCAGGCTGAAACAATCACATAGCCCCTCTGAGAACACTGGGTGGGTGGAAGCGTGCTCAGCCAATCTATTCAACCATCTTATTGTCGCCAAACACACCCACAGCTCAAGGCATGATGTAACAAAACACTTGACAGTCACTCTGCCTCACAGAGGGAGGATGGCATGGTAGCTCCCCCCCACAAAAAAAACCCAAACCATCAGGGAGGGGCATAAAAATTATAAAGAAAAGAACTTAAAAGTTGAGGGGGGAGGGAAAGGGATAGAAATTGCACTATTACCAAGCAATATCAATCATTTTTAAAAACAACGTTTCAGAAAAGACCTAGCAGAATTTGTCAGGTAAAGCTAGTGTTAAATTGTTAACTGATATCACATAGAGAACCAAAAACAAAATTTTTTTTTCTATATGGTACAGACACAGAGTAACATACAACAGTTAAATGGCAAAAAATATATATATATTTCATAGAGTTACAAACAAGATAAAATAATGGAAAACAAAAAACTGTACAACTTTAAAATTTAAAAATGTTCATCTCAAACACAGGGAGAAATATAAGATTTCTTGTTAAAAGGAAACAGCTTGTTAAAACAGTAAATGTTTTGCGTACTTGCTTTTGACACCTTATGCTACAACTGGATACTGGTATGAATAGTTAGATGGTATTTAGTATTTCTACTTAAAAAAAAAAACAATTAAAAAAGGAATTTGCACTGTGCATCAGCCTAGTTAGAAATATGTACAACATTTCAGGATCTACTATTTCATTAAACTAAAAACAAATTCATAAAAATAAAATAGTCCCGGCTAAAAAAGAAAAAAAGAAAAAAATCCATTTTCAGATCTTGGAATGCTCCAGTCTTTTGCAAAGTCGATGAGTGGCTTCAGCACTGGGGAAAGAAGCCCGAAAGGTGACCAATGGAACCTGCATTCACAGTCTTCAAAGTTCCCTTTTGAAACATAAGGAAGAAAATGAAGGGGAGAAGGATTTCACACTTTAGGGGCAAGGGGAGATGGTTTCTCTTGATGTTTGGCTATGAAAGTGAAACAGCAAAGTATCTATTTGTCTCCAAAATCTATGTTGTTTTAGCAGCACAAAGTTTTCAAAGTTCAGACCGTTTATTTTTTTTACATGAGAAAGGTTGTGTGTTGCGTTGTGTGTTACAGGAACATGGATATTAACATAAACAAGTGCCTCACATACGATTCCTTTTTTGCTTTCTGTACGTTGCTATCTGCTGCTTTGTTGGCTGCGCTCTGGATCACTCGCCGCTCAGACTGCCTAACACAAGGACAAAACTTTGAAGTAAAAAATGTGTCTTTTGGTATATGGAATTGTCATTAACAGTTGCCCCTCTGCGTGCAGAAGAAGCACATAACAACCTGGGAATCTTTTGTTTTTCTCTTTCTTTTATTAAACTAAGTCTTGTTTGTTTAAATCAGAAACAAATTCTCAAGTAACAAGAACCCTTTCCCTTTTTTCTGCACCAGCAGTGAAAGGGTGTGTCTTTGGATTTTATTTAAAGCATGAAATTTCTTTTTCTGAGAGAGGAAAGAAAAAACAAACACAAAACCAAAAACCAAATCCCTAACCAAAAACTTTTTTAGAAAAGAAAAGTACACAGCCAATTACACAAATGGAAACAAATGCTTTAGTATAGGAAAAGAATATTTGAAGCATCTACCAAACAAGGAGGAAAAGAAGGGGTACAAAGAAAAGCCAAAAGAAGGGTAAATAAAAAATAAATGCACAAGGCTAACAGACACAGGTAACTATGATTATATGCCTTTAAAAAGTTTCAACTCCCCAACCAAAAATAATCTGTGAGGATCCTAATGACCCCTAGAATCCCTTGAAATTCTTTCTTTAGTTTTATAAAATAATTCTGCAGCTCCCTCTAAGAAATGAAGGCAGCTACCTTAAGTGGGAGATTATAGAATATGGGAGGTGGGACAAGGAAAGAGAAAGTGGAATTAAGGGACAAAGGGGAGAAAAGCTTAGGCGAATCAACGGATTGCAATCTATTTGCTAGGAATGAACAAGACAACATCAAATGAGGAGCTGTCAGCTGGACCATACAAAAAGCTAAATGTACACAAAAGGTTTTTTTTTTTCCTTTTAAATCTACCATACTGCTTCAGTTCATTTCCAATGCAACAATCTACTCAACACCAAAAATGGTCATAGCTATCATAAATACAGAAAGTCAGTTTTTAAAACTTATTTTTTTAAGCTACAAGTCCTCAACACTCTTTGTGTATGTGGGTTTTTTTTTTTTTTTCTGAAAGTGGGAGTGCTTAACTTTTCCCCTTGAAATTGGCTTCAGCAGAAAAGCTATCGTTAAAAATCCCCAGAAAGCTAAAGCAGTTCACATTGTTTTTCTCGAATACTTTCTGCCCGTTTTTAAATTAACAAAACAAAAAATCTTTTCTGGAACCAAAAAAAAAACAAAAAAAAAAAAAACTGAAAAATATATAAAACAATGATTCTGAAAACAGAACAAAGTGTGAGCGATTGACCTGAGAATAAAAAGACATTACATTTCTTTTTTTCTTTTAGCAAGCCATTGGTATCTGAATGCTAAGATAGCAAGAAATTTAAAACTGTAACAAGGTGGACTGCTTTCCCATACAGTGCATGCCGGGCTCCTCTGTGCTATCAGCGTGGGGCGTTTATTGAAAAGGGGCAAATATACAAGGGGTTTAAGCTCCAAAGACATTAGGGAGGCCCTGCGGACTTGTTTCCCAGACCAATAGTACCTTCAAAAGGACACAATGCAACAGGGTTAGGGCATTTTTTTTTTTTTTTAAATATTAAAAGAAAAAAAGACAATGTAAAATCACCGGCATAGATAGGTATATGGGAAAACAACCCACGCTTTTTCTTTTTTTTCTTTTTTTTTTTTTTTGTTGTTTTTTGTTTTTTTTTGTTTGTTTTTTTTTTTGTTTTTTGGTTAGAAGCTTTGGAATTGCAGTTAGTCTATTTTGAAATTGGTTTGTTATTAATTTTTGTATTTAAATTCATTTGTTTGTATTGTTCATCTTCAAAGCTTACAATCTGAAGGTGTCCGTTCCTACACTGGTCAGACCACTGTCCTTGGGGCAGCTGGGGTCTTTGGGACCCTCCACCGGGCTCGCCGGTCCGTCGGACTTTTGGCTGAGATCCGTGTCAGACTCCTCCGAATAGTCGTCTGTTGGCATCGAGGGCTGAACCCCTGAGGTGCTGCATGAACTTGAGGTAACCGTTGAAGATGAGGAGAGAGGAGGAAAAGAAGGGGGCTTCGCTGCCGAAGCCCGGGAGACCACTTGCGGCCAAGACTTCCTGGAGGCGTGGGGGGAAGCGGAGGAGGGGGCGGCGGCCGACGGGGGAGGGGGGCTGTCGTTTGAGTGAGCGGCAGACTGCGAGGTAGATGCGGTGCTAGGATCGGGGAAGCAGGCAGAGTGAGGTAATAAACTAGGGTGCTCTTTGGCGTTTCTTGCTGCTCTCGTGATTGTTCTGTGTTTGTGCAAGGCCGACTCGAGATGTTGACTCAGAGCTTCCTCCCCACAGAGCGCGCTCTCGCACGCCAGGCAGTGGTACGAGCCGCCGCCGCCGCCACCACCGCCGCCACTGCCGCCGCCGCCGGTGGGGACGTGAAGCACCATCTCTTGCAGGTTCACCACAGACTGGCCGAAGAAGCAGAGGGACTTCAGGTGGCTCCTCGCCGCCTCCTCGTCGCCGAAGCCCGCCTGGCACTTGCGGCAGACCAACTTGTACTGCACCTTTGGAACAATGAAGGGGTCGTAGAGGGAGTCTGCACTTTTGCTTTCTGCTTCTGGCTCTTCAGGGGGTTTCGGCAGGAGGGGGGACACCTCACGGGGGGCGTTTTTCTGTTCTTCTGGTTTGGGGGATTCTTTGGCAGGGTCTTTGTCTGGGGAAGCAGCCCCCGGGGGGACTGGGGTTTGACTTGCTTTGGGCTGCTGCTGCTGCACTTTTTGCTGCTGCTGCTGCTGTAGTTGCCGCTGCTGCTGCTGCTGAATTGCCTCCTGCAGACTCTGCTGGTATTGCTGGTACTGCTGCAGTAGGGAGCCCGGGGACAGCCCCATCAGGGCCTGCGAGAGTGCAGGGCTGTAGGGGAACAGGCCTTCCATGCCATACATAGGCTGCAGGTACCCGCTCTGCAGGGCGCCAGGGATCTGGGGAGCATAATAAGGAGAAAAGCCCGGTACAAAGTAAGGAAGGAACTGGCTTGTGAGCAACGCTGTGGGGTCCGAAGTCAAGGCTGCCTGCAGGGCCTGCAGCTGTGCGGGGTCCACCGCATACTCCATGGTGGGCAGCGGGGCTGAGATCGTGGCTGCAGCTGCCGTGGGGGCCTCTCCTTTCTCCTTCTTGGGGACAGGCAGGGGTTCCCCTTTCCCTTTGTGTGTCTTTTCCTTCTCCTTTACTTTCTCACTGTCTTTGTCCTTCCGTTGCTGCTGCTGTTGCTGTGGGAGCTGTGGTGTGGGTGGCGGCTGGGCTGCTGGCGGCGGGGGAGGCTGCTGCACCTGTGGCTGCTGCTGGGGCTGGGGGGGTTGCTGAGGGGCCATCGCCATGGTGGCTTGTGCTGGGGTTGGGGAGCTCAGCGACGCTGAGGACGGTTTATTTGGTAATCCAGATGTGGGGAGGCCAGGGGAAGGAACAGTTGTGCTGGGCAGACCCATCAAGTTCGGCTTAGGAGACGTTAAAGCTGAAAGGAATGGAGACAGAAACAGAAATCACCAGTCAGTCTGCGCGTGGGTAGGGCTGAAGCTCAAGACATTTTACCAGTGTCACTGGCACACAGTCTGAGATGTCAAGGCTTGAAGACTTCTCTCAAAACCAATGTTTACAACAGAAGTATCCCATCAAGCTCAGGGCTGGACAGCCTGTATTCTAATGAGGACTCAGTCCTGGGTCAGCTCCCATACTCCTCCTTCCAGCCAATATACTTCCAGCACCTTCCTGCCCAATGTGCCACACCTGCTAGTTCACATTTTCTCAGCCAAGCACTCCCACCTACCATTCACGCTACCCAATTACAATTAGTCTGGAGGCCCCAAAGCTAGCTGTTTCTAGCTGGGGCCCATTTGCACCAAAGGCCTTTACCAAAGCATCACAGAAAAAGTATGGCCATGAGGCCCAGAGAAGTTACCTGGAGGAGACAGGCAACAGGAGAAGGGAGAAAAGAACAAAGGCAAGAAAGCTAGTAAGGGCCCAAGGCCACATGAAGAAGCAAAACAGGCTTCACATGTGTTCCTCCTCTCTGACCTCTGTTGCAGCAGCTGACTGGATGCTTTGGGAGGGTAGAGAGAAGAGGTGAATGGGAAAGTATGGAGGAAGGGCCTGGGAAGAAATAAGAATCCATTCAGGGAAAACTGCTCCAGTGCCTTGGCCCAGCTGATCTGCTTCAACAAGTCTATTGAACAGTGTAACCATCTAGGCATACGATTCTGGAGACTACTGGAGAAATGACCACCTTCTCTTCCTGCCTGTTTGAATGATACACAGGAGGGCCAATAGAACTGTAGATGGTTGAGAAGCCACCACAGGAAAAGGAGAAAAGCCATGTCACAAACGGAATAGCCCAAGGTACTGACACCAATTTCTAACACATCACAACCTACTCGAAGCACCACTGTCTATGGATAGCAAGGGTCTCTGACCATGTCACCAGGCCCTCATGGACTAGGCCCCATCCTTTATCATACTCACCCCTAATCTACCACCACTCCCTGCAACACCTTCACTGACCCTAGAGCCTAATACCCTCCCCTGACCCATAGCTATCTCCTGGTTTAAGTCTTCAGTTCCAAGGTAATGGAAGAGGGTGTTGCTACGGATGGTACTCCAAGCTTCAGGTATGTTGAGACTAGCAAGACAGCAGGGAAAGACACCATGAGGGGTGGGGTGCAGAGTGTGCTGGATGATGGAAGCTGAGAAAAGAAAAGAGGATCCCACAGGCAACACCTCTGTATTCACCACATCCAAGAAACTAGATGGTATATACATCTCTTCAGAGGACACCAAAATGCAAAATCAAAACAGTCCTAAAGCCCTTCAGTATTTCATCTGGACCACTCTGCCAGAAAGCTGGAGAAGGAGTTCCATAACATAACCCTGAGAAAAAAACACTCTGAAGCCCAGATCTGGGGGAAGACTGCTGATTTCTGGCTATCGAGGCACCGTGTTCACTATCAAAACCCTCATATTTCAGATGAAAAGAACAAGACTGCTTCAAGTTGCCAATCCGATAAATCTCCATTAATATGGGATAGCCAAGGAGGAAGATTCCTTCAGCATCACATCATCCAGTGTCCTCAGTGCACATAAGACACCAGAGAAGATATGTGTGACTCCAAAAAGCTTAGTAAAAACTTGATTAAATTGGCACAAACGAGACAGAGTAGATTATGCGTTCTAAACTTGGGACATGGCTCTGTCTCCACTAGGCAATGGGCCTTCTAAGTTTTAGGTTTGGGGCCAGAGCGAAAAGATCAGTGGGGCAAGGAAGGAATATCTAGAGATTTCCTCATCTCCATGGCTTCAGGCTTTTAGGAGAAAGATTCAGGTCAGAAAGCCTTAAACTGTGTACCTTCAACTGATGGTCTATGTAAGAGGTTCAAATTTTAAGAGATTTCACGAATCTCTACTATTTACCAAGCCCTGCCCTAGCCATGCTACAGTAGCTCAACACACTCACAATTCTGTGACCTCCTTGTTCCCCCAAGACTTACTCATACAACTCTGGAATCACACAGGCCCTGTGGAATTATGGTAACACACATCAGACGTGTGACCCTGGGCCTGTCAGTTGAACTCCTGGAACCTCAGCTTTCCACAACAGATGGTTACAAGAATTAAATGAAATACCATATTCATAGAAAAAGCTTACCATTGGGCCTGACCTATAATAGATGCTTAATAAATACAAGTTCATTCCTTCCCTCCCATTCCAGATCCAGTGCTCTTGAGAACAATGTTACAGTCAGATGATGAACTGGGGCAGTCTGGCTGCCCTGAATAAGAGCATATCTTTCTAGCTTGAGTCCACGCTAAGTGGTCAGAACCTGAGTAACACTAAACATATACCTGTTGACTGACTGGCTCATATTGGGTGTTGTGGAAGGACATAGCACTGGGAGCCCGGAGGCCTGGGTGGGAGCTCTAGCTCCTACCCTAGCTTGTTGAATGGTCTTGACCTCTCTGGGCCTCAGTTTTCTCATCTGTAAAACAAGGGGAATAAATCAGACATTCTGATTCTACTTTTTTCACATTACTGTGATGTGTCAAACCTTCCCAAGCCCCTCTGCCAAGGTCCTGGGCTACAGGGATAACTAAGTGCTTCGCTAGTTTCTGTAGTTTTTTTCCTGGCTATGTGTAGCTGTTTTTCTGTGACATGACTTGTCAACACATATAAGCAACAACAACTTATTCTTAATTGAGTAAGAAACAGGGACCAGGAATGCAGTAGGCTCATGTTTGGTAAGATACCACACAAAATGTAAAATGTGGAGCTAATTCAACCAGAAACTAGGACTGCTGTGGGAAGCAGGAGCGCTGCTTTAACCCCAGGTAACAGGAACACATTTTGAAGGCAAGGTGGCTTTTGGAGCGGTTCTCCTTTGGTGAACGGGAAGTAATCAATTCAGGCCATCGTCGGGGGAATTGGCTGACTTGTGTCTAATCCTTGCAGGACCCTGGAGGTGAAGGTCCAATTTAGCAAAGATGGCTGGATCCAGAGAAGATGTGAGGACAGAGAAGGAGAAACAAGAGAGGTATGTAGGAAAAGCTGCAAAACTCCTTATTAAGTGAGACTGTATGAGCACCAAGTATGTATGATTCTGAATGATCAGGAGCAAGGAAAGGGAAATGGGCAAAAGGAAAAAAAAAAAAAAAAAGAGGTGACTGAGGACCTCTGAAATATGCAGCAGTACTTTAATAGAACCATGTTCCCCAATACGAGATCCCTGGTCAATGCATTCAAGTAAAAAGGTCGTCTTGTTAGAAACTAACAGCCACTATTGTTCTGGCTGGAAGAGAAAACTCCAACAGTAAGGATCCACCACATGAAAGCTTCTTTCTGATAGCAGTTCTTCAGCCACAGTAACTCTCTCGAGAAGGCAGGGACCTTAGGTGAGGGCAAAGAGTTGATTTAAATGCTCTTAGACCAGTTTTCTTAGGGCATAATCCAGAATTAGCTATGACTAATTCAGGTGTCTTATATTTACAACAAATATCCAGACAGGATCAGCATTTCCACAAGGACTGAATGAAAGGGTGTATGATAGAAACTTATTTCTTGAAATATTCCAGAAATTAGTATACCAGGACCCTCAAGCTTTTCCCTATTGTAGGGCGTAAGAGAGGTTTCAAAGGAGACTGTTCCAACCAGAAGGTCCCACCCCTGACACACCAGCAGTGTGTGTCAAGACTTAAGCAAACTCAAGTCTTGTTGCTTTTAGAGAACTAGAAAGAGAAGCTTCCCACCTGCCCAGCACTCAGAGGGTCTGGGTGGTAGCCACATAACGGAATGCTGAATGGGCAGCTATTCACCTCTGAAACAATCCCCTGGAGCAGAACCCACCTGTGTTGGATGGAGTAAAGCCTGGCAAGGAGGGGCTGTTGAGGCCCGGGAGCAACACGGGAGGAATGCCCTGGAGCGCTGGATATGCAGTAGGAAGGTTAAGGGCCTGAAGAGGGGTGTTGTCAAACATCCCTTGCTGCTGAGCTGCCAGTCCAAGGACCTCATTGGCCTTTTTAATCCGGTCCAACTCTTGTTGAGCCATCAACTGACGTACGGTGGCTGGGTCAAAGTATTCTTTCTCCTTGTCCAACTGGCTTCCAATGGTGTCTTTAACTTTGGAGATATGCTGTTGGGAAAAGATATGGTCACGTACAGACAGCCGAGCGCTGTACTTGATGCCACACAAAGTGCACTCTGTTTTGGGTCCCTCGTAACTCGTTTGGTTTATACCAAAATGCTTGGCCATGCTTAACTTGGACTTCTTTTCTTTTGCCCGGGCATTCTGGAACCAGACCTGAACAACTCTCTTTGGCAGTCCAATGTCATTGCCCAGGACCTCACACTCCAGCATAGTGGGTGTCCTGTAGTCATTAAAGCATGACTTGAGGACCTTCAGCTGCAGATTGGTCATTTGAGTGCGAAAACGTTTCTGCCCAGGCCGATCCCCGCTGTCACCAGATTTGCCTGCAGATCCACTAGCGCCAGGACTTGGGGAGCAGGGGTCTGCAAGGCTTGAGGTTTCACTGTAGTCCACTGTACCTTCATTGTCATATTCCTTGCTATAAAAGCTCGGGGCAGGGCTGACCAGACCAGATGACAACCGATCTTCATACTCAGACATTGCCATCATGGCCGCTTTGGTCAACCCTTCATTGGGTGCAGAAGAGGATTTGGTTTCAGTTACTATTCCCGTTGCACTGTCGTTATCTGCATTGCCCTCGTCTCCAGTTGTGGTATCTGTGATTGCTGTGTTGACGGAGGAACAGTCATCATTGTCCAGCTTAGTTTGGTCAAAGTTTAGATTAACTGAGGACATGGAAGGGCTTTCAAAGTCTTCAATCCCTTCCACCTTAATGGAGGAAGGGCTAAGAAGAGTTCTCGGTGACAACTCCATGGTTTTACTCACGGGTGAGAGGGGGACACCCTGACCATCAGTACTGCTTGGGGGTAGGTGGGAAAAGCTAGTTCCGTCAAAAATATCTCCTTTCATCTGGAGTCCCCCATCACAGTCTAAGAGCATCGCAGACAGTGTTAGGTTGTAGCCAGCTCTCTTGGCTTCATGCCAGTGACGGGACCGGATGTGAGCCTCAAGAGCAGTCTTGGCTTTGAAGAGCGCTCTGCAAAAAGGGCATCTCCTGTGGGCCTGAGCTGGGCCCACAGCCCGGAACTGTCCTTTCCTTTCCCGAGCTCTGGTGTTCTGAAACCATACTTGCACCACACGTTTCTTCAAGCCCACCTCGTGCGCAATATGATCCAACATCTTTCGAGTCGGATTGGAGTCCAGTAGATACTTCTGGTAGAGAATTTCTAGTTGTTCTGGTGTGATGGTTGTTCTCAAACGCTTGTCTCTCTGAGGCTCTTCTCCTCCTGTCCCACTGTCATTTTCACCAGGGCTTGCACTGGCCTTTTCCTCCAGCTTCCTCTTGAGAGTGTTCATCGTGGAGGTTGGAGTTGAAGGAGAAGTGGCAGAGCTTGCCGGAATCTGAGGTATGGCCCCAGAGAGCAGCTGGCTGGCCAGGAGTGGGTTACTGGGATCAAAAAGCATGAAAGGCATATCCAGTGACCTGTCCAAAAACTGGGGGTGGATGAACTGGTTCTGTGCACTCAGGAAGTGGAGCTGCTGATGCTCCTGCCAGTGCTCAAATGATGGAAATGCCAACTTACACTGGTCACACTGGTAAGGGATTAGCTGAGGAGGTAGGTTTGCCAGCTGCTGAGGAGTTGATGTGTGGAGGGGCTTGAGGGGCAGGTGGGAGAGCTGGGAAGGGCTGGGACTCGACTGGGGTAAGGGGCACTGCGGAGGGGGTGCTTGCGGAGGAGGCTGTGGCAGCGAAGGCAGGGACGCCAGCTGGGCGAGCTTCTGCTGTGGGGTATTGGTCTTCTGCTGCTCGGGCTGCTCTTGCTGCTGCAGCTCTGGCTTTGGTTGTCCTTGCTTTTCTTGGGTTTGGTTTGGCTGGGTACTGGGAGCTTCCACCAGCTTTGGTTTCTCATCACTTGCCTCTGTTTTTGAATTGAAGGTGGCCAGGTCCTCGGCCTCTACTGCAAGCTGCAAGAAAGCGGAGGAAGCTGCATTATTGGCTGATGGTGCTGGGGCGCTGTAAGCCTGTGAGGGCATCGGGGTGCTGCAGGAGGAGCTGGTAGGTGTCAGGATTTCCATGGCATCCATGGAATCCTCATTTTGGCTGTCATCCTGCCCCTCCTCATCCTCATCCTTGTAACACAGCTTCTTCTGGTGTTTGATGAGATCAAAGATGCGCTGAAACACCAGGCTACATTTTTTGCACTGGTAGTTCAAGTTGCTTGTTCGAATATATCTGTCATTTGTGAGCTCACGCCGCTCTCCATCTTTGCCCTCTCCCTGATTCTCGTAATTCTTCCTGGCCTTCTGTCGGGCATTCTGAAACCACACCACTATGACTCGGGTTGGAAGGTTCAGTAAATTAGAGAGTTGCTCAAATTCATCATCCTTTGGGTAAGCATTGGCATCAAAGAAGTCCTGTAAGACCCTCAGCTGGTAGTCCGTAAACCTTGTTCTTGAAGACCTCTTGCTTCCCCAGTATTCCTGCTTCGGAGGTTCCGGCGAAGGGGGCCGGGAGTCAATCTTGAGCTCCTCCAGGCTGGTGATAGGAGGATTACTAAAGTTGTAAGGAGAGTCCTTGTTACGCTGCCTCTCTTTGAAGAGAGTGTTCCTGAACCAGTGCTTGATCACTTTCTGCGGCAACCCGGACTTGTCTGCCATCTCTTTGATTTGCTCTTCACTGGGGGAGTTGTTAATGTCAAAATATTGCCGCAAGACTCGGAGCTGATCATCCGTGATCCTGGTGCGAGGCCTCTTGTTCTGCTGCTGCAGCAGGGTTGGATTGAGCTGATGCTGGTACAGCTGGGCCAGGTCCGCAGGCAGAGGCTCCACAGGTCCCAGCTGTGGGGGCAGCTGAGCTGGCAAGGTCTGCAGCGGCATCGTCTGCATCATCAGTGGCGAGAAGATGGGCAGCTCCATGGGCATGGAGAGCTGGGTGAGTGGCACAGATGGCTGGGCCGGTGCAATCGTAGGTGAGGTAATGGGTGGGGCTGACACAGGGATGGCTGGCGTGGACGCTGGCTGAGGTGGTGCTGTCGGAAGTGGGGGTGGAGGGGGCGGAGGGGGAGGTGGTGGTGGCTCTGGGGTCTGGGGCCTCAGTGGGTACAGTTTATCGTAGTGGTCTCTGTACTGTTTGGCAAACCTCTCGAGCTGTTTGAAGGGAAAGTAATTCTGATGAACATGCTCTTGATGACTCTTTAAAATCAAGATGTTGGAAAACAACTTGCCACAGGACTCACACTCGAGCTTTTCCAGGTTCTCTCCCTGCTCAGTCTTCCCATTCTTTTTCTGCACCTTCTGCTTGTTCTCATTATACTGAATGACCAACTCAAAGCCAAAGTTCTCCAGCAGGGCCTTGGTGGCATTCCCTCTGGCATCTGAAGCGATGCGTGGAGGGAGCATGGAAGGCTCAGAACTACCCCCTGGTGCCAACTCTTTCTTCTCTTTGGCCTTCAAGGCATCTGGCTGTGTTTCCTTCGGACCGGTGTTGCTCTCCGCCACCTCGGCACCATCCCTCTCTCTCTGGCTTTCTTTTTCCTTTTCTTTGATGACCAATTTGTTCTTCTTTTCTGGGTGCTGGCTTGGCTGAAGGAGCGTGGAGTGACTCTGGGCTAGAGAGAGTTGGTTCTGCTGCTGCTGTAAGATCTGCTGGTGGCTCTGCTGTGGGACCTGAACCTGAGCCTTCAGATCTTCCAGCAGGCCTGGGCCCGTCCCCGTCAGCGTCAGTGCCCCACTGGTCACTGGCAAGCTCACCTCGGGGTTGAGCTGGAACTCCGCACTAGGGATGTAGAAAGGGAAGAGGAGGTGCTGCTGCTGCTGTAGCTGAAGCAGGGTCTCAGTGGTCATGGGGAAGTGAGGAAGGAGGGTGGGGTTAAACAGCTGAGACTGGATCAGGGCAGCCTGCTGCTGCAGCTCCTGCTGCAAGTGAGCTTGAACTTGGGCCTGGGCCAGGGTTTGTGCTTGTTGTTGTTGCTGCTGTTGCTGCTGCTGTTGCTGCTGCTGCCTGGATGCAATCATGTCTGCCAGTTTCTTCCGATTGGCCTCCTTGGGCTCTGAAGGGGAAGCAATGTTGGCACCAATAGGATTCCCCAGGGGTGGCATCCCTACACCCTCAGTGGGCACTTGGCTCAGTAAGTTGGAACTTGGAGCGATGCCAGCACTGCTTGGATTGGAGGTGGTAAAGGTGTTACTGCCACTGGTGCTCACAGGACTTGGCGTGGAGGAGCTCAGGGAGATACTGCTGCTGTTCCCAGTCCCGTTGCTACTGCCACTTGCAGCCTCCAGCTTGGCTGCCCGGGCCTTGGTTTGATGTAACACAGACCTCATGTGGATCTCCAGAGTGGAACTCTGGCTGTAGGCCACATTACAAGTGTTACACTTAAAAGGTTTGTTGTCTGGGCTGCTGGTGGGTTCTGGCTGACCGGTTGCTGATTCTTGAAGGGCTCTCTTTAACTTATGCAGGTGGGAGACAGAATTGTAGTGTACTAGCAGGATATTCTTTTGAGTGAAAGATTCCTTGCAGACGGTACACTTGTAAGGGCGAGAAGGGTCTAGGAATTTTTCCATAGTAAAATTGGGACCTTTTCTGAAAGGCAGAGCTCTCTTTGGCTCTGAGCCTGAGTCTTCTTGTACTGACCCAGAGTCACTGCCCGTTGGGCTCTGTTTATCTTCCAAGTCACTCTCTTCCTCCTTGTCTTCCTCAACAATTATGGTATGGTCCTCGGCCAGGGTGGGATCTCCCATTGCCAGCAGGTCCCCATTGGCCAGAAGGCCACCATAAAGCTGTTGGATGTCAGCCTCACTCAGCTCCAAGTGGCTTGTCTCGAGGTGCTTCTTCAGAGCCTGGAAAGTTCGGAAACTGCGCTGACAAAGACAGCACATGGTGGCAGCTCTGATCACATGGTACTGGGAATGGAGCTGCAACTTTTCAATGGTCTTGAAGGCCAGACTACACTGATTACAGCGGTACTTGTACACATGGCGATCTGACACCGGCAGCTGAGGCCTCTTGGCATGCACTTCATTGAAATGCGTCTGAAGGGCAGCAGAAGTTTTGAAAACCTGGTTGCAACCCTTCTTCCAGCAGAGGAAGCCTGAGTCTTCTCTCACAGAGCCTGGGTCGGCAGGGGAGGGTTTCAAATCTCCGCTTTGCTCTGTGCTCGTGGATTGCAAGATGTTCTTTCCCAGATCCTCTGAGGTTTCTGTGGAAAAAAAACATCAAACCCACAGATAAAGAAGGCTTTGTTTCAAGGATGGCACCCAGAGCGGTCTACCTAACCAGGCCTCATGAACACAGAATCTGATGAAGAGGGAAGTGCCCAACCTGAATGACAGAATCTCCGTGGAGCGCCTCCTGCTTCCTTTTGTTCCCCCAGTAGAGCACATATTATAAACAGGGTGCACATGAACAGAGATGAATAAAAGGAAATACAAAAAGTTTCAATGAATAATAGACCCATGTCATATCACAGATCTAACAGTCTTTTAAATAGCATTTAATTGCTTGACTCAGAATCCTCAATTTCTCAAGAACTGGTTTGAAGGTTACTGATCTTAGACTGGATTTCCCTTTTATGTTCATCTTTTATGTAATAAGAATTTAGCACAGTAGATCTGAAGTGTAGAATATGTGAATTAATGCTGTTCTAAGTTATAGGGAATTTTTTGTAAGAACTGCTGAATGCTGTAATGTAAGAAATTCAGGGGCCAGGTGCAGTGGCTCACACCTGTAATACCAGCACTTTGGGAGGCCGAGGCGAGCAGTTATCGAGGTCAGGAGATCAAGATCATCCTGGCCAATATAGTGAAACCCTGTCTTTACTAAAAACACACAAAAAAATAGCTGGGCATGGTGGCACATGCCTGTAGTCCCAGCTACTCGGGAGGCTGAGGCAGGAGAGTTGCTTGAACTCAGGAGGCGGAGATTGCAGTGAGCCCAGATCGCACCACTGCGCTACAACCTGGGCAACAGTGTGAGACTGTTTCAAAAAAAAAGAAATTCGGGGATACGTGTTTTCAGGCATTTAATTTCTTGTGACTTCTGATTGCCATCTCTATTGTATAAACAATGAACAAGTGTTCAATCATTTAAAATATATAAATTTTTTTCCTACAATGAGATAATCATACCATCAGGTCATTTGCCCATTCTCTAAGATGGAAAACTCACAAGAAAGAGAGGAGGCAGAGCAGTAGTGTGCCCAAACTCTTCCCAACTTAGAGGTGAAAGATGGACAGCCTCACAGAGGTCTAACCATCCATCTAGCTAGTAAATACTATGTGGCACCAACTGTGGCAGCATACATGTCTACAACAATGTTCTTTCCGATGGCACTTCTGTGCTTCATCCTAAGGCAAGCCCAGAAAACTCAGAACGAAAGACAACTAATCCAGTGTACCTAAAAATCAACCCACAAGTCCCTACTAATTAAGTCCTCAGAGATGATACAGTGTTTAATGGCTTAGGATGGTGGGGCCTATTGACTTGAGTCTTTTATTCACTCCGTAATTGTATAATCTAAGAGGATGTATGTGTGTCTCTGCCAAAATTCCACTGGTTGTCATACTGATTTTCTCTCACTTTAAACAATGGGAGTAATATACAAATAAATGCCAAGAACCAGAGTATAAGGTAGCTGATGACAGTGCCCCTCATCTCCTGATCAGTTACATTCACCTTAAGAGTATTGTAAAGAATTCCTGAAAACCCTTCTCCATGAACATTTTGCCATTCCATCTTGTTTCAGGTTCTTGGGGTCAAGAATAATGGTACTGACCAGGCTGCTTTCCTGCCTCTTCCAAACTGGAATTCCCATCTCGATCTGGAACAGCTGCTGGAAGGAACATGCTGCTGGGCATCACCATCTCAGGAGTGGTCACCTGAGGAGCAAGAGCAAGGACAGTCAAATGGAGAGGAAAGAGACACAAAATAGGAAATGTTTAAAAATTATTTAATAAGCAAAATTACCCTTCACCAGTATAAAGCTAGAGGTGTCACTTTTCATAGCTCACTGAAGATTCATGTTTATTAGACAAAGCTCACATCAGTCAAAAGTGTTTCTACGGTTACATTCTGGACATAATTAGCAGTGCACACTTGAAGAATAATCTTATTATTAATATTTTTCCTTTATGCGGAATTTTGACTTTGATCACTGACAATGTTTTGTCATGGGCTGTGAAACTTCTTGTGCAACCAATTAGGTAGATAAGTTGAAAGGCCCACCTTAAGCTGCTGAAAACATAATAAGGGCCCTAATTAAATCATACCTAGTAAAGTACACTGTAATCTTGAAGCAGAGAGCATTGTAGTACTGTTTTCAAAATGTATTCAGGCAAGAAGAGGAGGGAGTAAGAGTGAAGGAAAGGGTAAGAAGAAAAGAAGAGAACAAAGGGAAGGCTAAGGACACGCAGACATGCTAGCAGATTTTCCAGGAAACAACATTTGTAACCCTTTACAAGCTGATATCAAGCACAAGCAAGCCATTTTTTTGTGACTCACTTAAGCCCACGATTTCTTCTGGACTCTCTGCCCAAGGTACACAACATCAGAGGGAACCTCTGGCCAATGTCCCAGCCATAGAGGGTGGCCTGCACAGCATTCTATAACAGGGTAGCCACACCTTGACCATGGCCATTGTTTCTAAACATAGTAATTCTGGAAATTGCCTGGATGCAAATAGCTGCAATTTTATGGCAGATCCTCAGATATTTCTCTAGGCCTCCCAGCCATACAGCCAGAAGCCTGTCCAGACAAGTTATCATTTGCCCTATGTTAATGTGATCAACAGTCTTCGATACCAATGGAAGGATCAAATGTTCTTCATTCAAACAGAAGCAACATCCTTTTGCCTGATACGGGGTGGGAAGGGTAGGTGGCGATATTTCAAATGAATCAGAAACCACCTCCCATTTGATGACAGCTGGAGAAATGGACTGACGCAGAAGTTACAGGACCAGAAACTACAATCACCACTAACCTTTCTACATGGCTCCCAGCCCCACTTGGAGACATTTTTCCATCAAACACAACCATACTGCACAGCCATCTTCACTATCTGTTGCAAAGACTGGAATACTTAGATTTCTCTTCAAAATTAATGTTTTAAATACATTACTATTAATTTTTAATGGTGTGAAAATCCTAGCCTTGCCCAAAATAGCTACTGACATGTCCATTAGAATATCAGCGATAGGCTTGATGACTAGAGGAAACCCAGACAGCCACCCTCATCAACATAAGATAACTCCCCATCACATTTAGGGGTATTAAAATTATTTTAGCAACCCAGATGCCAACGGGTGCAAAAAGTAAGCCACAGGCTCTATGGAGAACCACTCTGAGAAACACTATGTTTATGAAGAGCAGGTGTGTGGCAGGTGAATGTGTGTGACATCTCATTCTTGCCCCCACAGACATCTGCGCCACACACAAAGCTCATCGGCAGCTGGTTAAAGCTAGCTGTTGATGAATCGTTAGGAAGGGAGTGGAGATTGCCAAACTCATTCCATCTATTTTCTTTTTAATAGAAGGTATTTCTGACCAGTGTGGTTGGGGAGTCCAGCGGGAATCCAAGAAGTGAAAGGTCACCGATTAATTTATAGTCTTCAGCCGAGGGGGAGCACGAGGTTGGGGGTAAGAGGGGGAGAAAGGGAAAGGAAAAAAGACTCCCCCCAACCTCCTTTCTCGGTTGTAGCTGCAGGATCAGTCTTTTCCCGGGATCTTTAGGAATTATGAAAAATGAATCATGAGAAATAAAAAAAAAGCCCTACAGAGTAAAAAAGAATAAAATTATCTAACACCTCAGCTGCACATCATTATAGAAAACTGTGGGCTTTTCATACGCATTACAGTAAGGCAGACATCCCCTCTAACAGACTCAGTACGACGGATCAGTAATTGTTTTCATACACTTTAATTAGAAAAACTCAGATGGCTATGAATAATAATGGAAAAGAGAGACTTTTGCACTTGAAAGGTTGAAGTCAATCAAGTGTGAATGACGGCAAAAAAGAAAAAAAAAAAAAAAGACACCAATTCATCAGTCCTCTGTTGTCTCGCTGAGACTTTAATCATAATTCCTGATTGGGATTCAAGAAGGCAGTAAGCAGCGGTTCTTTGTCTGCCTTCACCTTCCATCAATTAAGTCTCCCCGAAATATAATCATCAACCTCACATCCTCCTCTGCATCTTAATCTGGGCCTCCAAACCTGTAAGCCATGCCCCATATGTGTTTAAGTAACTACTTTTATCCACCTGCATCTTCTCATCTATAGTGTACCCCACCTCTCCCTGGAAAAAAAAAAAAAAAAGGCGGCAGGTTGGTATATGAAATTTTCATGGGCAAGAAATTCCCAGGAGGCAAAGAGGAAGATCCCTAAAGAGAATCCTGAGGATCTAGAAATTCAAGTGGGGTCTATCTGCACATGTGTCTGAACAGAGGTTAAGAATGGAAGCTACTGGAGGGCCTGATGTCAGCAATCAGACACTAATTCCCGTGCCTTTGCCCATTCTTCCATCTCCTACCAGCTTCCAAAGCTTTTCACTCAAAGCTTTCATGCTTTATCTTAAAAGAGCCATAAACATAATCCTGCCAACAGAGCGCACTGAGGAGTCCTTCTGCTCACTGAGGTGATATATCCAAAAGCAGATTTCCTTCAACACTTGCCTTGGCACCCTCTTTGTTTTCCAATCACACCTGGCTACTAACCTGCATGGAATTCAGACTGTCCCAGCCATAGTCTCTGATGGACAGCTGAAAATGGGAAAGTCAGTAACCCGGCTGTTGGCCGGACATGGTGGCTCATTCCTGTAATCCCAGCACTTTGGCAGGCTGAGGCAGGTAGATCACTTGAGGTCAGGAGTTCAAGACTAGCCTGGCCAACATGGTGAAACCCAACTCTACTAAAAATACAAAAATCAGTCAGGCGTGGTCGTGCATGCCTGTAGTCCCAGTTACTCAGGAGGCTGCGACAGGAGAGCCGCATGAACCCAGGAGGCAGAGGTTGCAATGAGCCAAGATCGTGTCACTGCACTCCAGTCTGGGTGACAGAGTGAGACTCTTGATAGATAAATAGATAAATAAATCCCAGCTGTGCTGAGCACCGTTCTGTAAAGACTTTCCCTTTTGCCAGGAACACTGAACCATGTAGGTTTGTAAGAAGGCAAAACCTGGTTGTAGCATAACTTGGTCATGCCAAGTGTGCCAAACGTCAGAGGCCCTCAAATAACTGGTCCTACCACCAGTTTTCCTGTACAACCTACATACATGCTTTCTGTCTCTTCCTCTCCCCCTCTCCATCTCTGGCCACAATCCTACAATGTCCATACTTCCAGCCATGTACTCGACAGTCAAACAAAAAAAGTTCTAAGGTTTGGCCAGATGACAGTATACAATCAGCCCAAACACCTACACTTTCTACATTGACTGTACCATCCACATTGATTATTCCAATAATCCATACATCAGTAAACATTTAATACACTAAATTACATCCCCCACTCTATTCACTAATGAACCTGAGAAGTAACAAGAAAAAGTTTTTCTGGTTAAGAAAATGCAGTTCATTACAGTCATTACAGCATTTGGGTCTCTCAAGATTGGCCTCTTCCATGCAAAAGGCATTACCATGGTGATCTTCTAGACACCATATGTTTTCCTCCCATATCTTTTGAGCCAATTAACCTACTCTCCTCCCAGAGCACATGTACAGTTCATGGCAAGTTAGGAAGAAACCATCAATTGACTGGGTTGCAGAAAGTTTAGAAGCAAACAGTGGCTCTGATATATCCCTAACAAACAGGTTTCATGCATAACAAAAGAAATGTGGAGTTCTACTCCAAGACTGAATACCTCCCAGTTTAAGCAATTTTCATATACAATAGAAACAGAAGTGTTCCACACTGATGCTAAAAATTTTGGCTTAAGTTAATTCCAAAATACCACAGTTGAGAAGGAGTAGCCTTGAGTGACTCTCAGTTCATTCATTTGACCATCATTTACGAAACGCTGTACAGGATCCACGTGCTGCATGCTTGTGAGATGCAGAGGGCAAGACAAAAGTCCTTGTCCCCAAGAAGCTTATGATCCAGAATAATTAAAACTTCAGAGGTCATAAAAGCCTTAGAAATCTAATAAAAGTTGCAGATTCCTAGGAAAATACTTTCACAGAAAGAATATTCCAGATGATTACAGGAAATCACAAGTTCCCCAGAGGGAAATCCATGTACTTAAGTAAAGTACCCTTGATCTAATAGGAGAGGGGACATAGGTTCATAAATATATAGTTCCAAGGTATGTATTAGAACTGCGTATGTATCATAGTTTGGTTCATTATCATTTTGGATTATGTTTGCATGCTTTTCAGGATTCTGTGAGGTGAGTGGAACCTAAGGCCTCAAGGACCACCTTACACAGCCCAGTGTCTGAGGTACTGGTCTGGTCTGGTCTCGCACTTTGATACTTGCGAGGGGCTGCTGCAATGTATAATTTCTTGGTAGAAGCTGGAATTACAAGGAACACCATCGTGCCACCTACCCCAACACCTGCAGATCACAGATGTGGAAGGGCAAACACCCTGTGCAGCCTAGATAACCCTTTGTTAAGTTCTTATGGGATTGTTCATGCCCATTCATCTCTCAAGGCTACCCACAGACAGGCTGGCCTAAGTTAGATCGATGTTCCTGACGCATTCCATGTGCTAGAAAGCAGAGATATTTTCTTTTCCTTTTTTTTTTTGAGATGGAATTTCGCTCTTGTTGCCCAGGCTGGAGGGTAACCGCATGATCTCGGCTCACTGTAACGTCCGCCCCCCAGGTTCAAGCGATTGTCCTGCCTCAGCCTCCCGAGTAGCTGGGATTACAGGCATGTGCCATCACACCCAGCTAATTTTTCTGTACTTTTAGTAGAGACAGGGTTTCACCATATTGGCCAGGCTGGTCTCAAACTCCTGACCTCAGGTGATCTGCCTGCCTCACTCTCCCAAAGTGCTGGGATTACAGGTGTGAGCCACCACGCCCAACCAGCAGAGATATTTTCTTAGTAAAAGTGGTGAACGTAGTTTCTCTGAGACCCTATTCCTACTGCCTTGGCACTGCTCACTTTAGGACTTCTTTCTGAAAAATCCATTATTCTAGGTGAAAAGTGTAGATCTGCCAACACCTAGGCTCCCAAGGATGCCTCAAATCCTTTACTTTTAATTGAAAGTCAACAGAATGAAGAACTTCAGACAGACAAAAAGGAGAGAGGCTTAGGCACAGACCTCTCTGGCACAGACCAAACCAGTCTTTACATCCTGGTAGATGAGGCTGGTTCTGCCCAAAACATTGAAGCATCAAGTTAAAACCCAACTGCTTTTAGGGCTGAGCAATCTAGCGAGTGCTGTACCTAAAGCCAGCTGCTCACTTCCTTCCCTGTATCTAGACAGCCTATTAGCTGGTTTCTGCACACTTAAAGCCAGCAAACCAGGCACATCTTGCCAGTAGAGTTTCAGAATTGGGTTCCCCTGCCTTTACTGCCTTCTACATGTGCCAGGGAGAGCACTGGACCATGGAGTCTAAGAGGCCCAGCTTCTCCTCTCCTTGTACCATTTCCTTTTTTTTTTTTTTTAATTGGAGATAATCTCACTTTGCCACCCAGGCTGGAATACAGTGGCATGATCATGGCTTGCTGCAGCCTCAAACTGCGGAGTTTGATTCTTCTGCCTCAGCCTACTCAGTAGCTACAACTACAGGTACACACCACCATACTCGGCAATGTTTTTTTTTCTTTTTTTTTTTTTTTTTGGTAGAGACACCGTCTTGCCATGTTGCCCTGGCTGGTCTCAAACTCCTGGATTCAAGCCATCCTTTCACCTTGGCCTTCTTGTTTCCTTTCTAAAACTGCTTCTCTATGGTAGTTCATTCAGTTTTTAAATACATAAAGCTCAGAAGAAAATACTGTAGGGCTGTGGTAACATTCATGTGGGCTGGAAACCAATGTACCTCAGAACCACATTTTTAAAACTGAGGATGAGAAAGATCGAAAAGGTGGGTGGGAGAACAGGAAACACATGAAGAGGTATACACATGTGCACAGAGAGTGAGAGGTGAGGAGAATGAATTGGAGAGAAAAGCTTCATTAGACTCCGAAAGGCAAGCAGTGGCAGTATACCAAGGTCACTTCTAATTTAGACCATCTAATTGGCAAACAGCCTCCAAATGGCTATCATCTCACAGGGCTTGGAATTAATGAAGCCCGATTATTGTCATTACCTTCCTCTTAGAAGGTAAAGTGAGAGAGCTGGTACCCAGGTGGGTGTGACAGCCCCCAGGCCAGTGGCCACCCAAGAAGATCTCCAGTGTGGGGGAGCCGGATGACTAGTCTGGCCCAGAGACTCACAGACACACAGGCACACATGGGGCACAGAGAGTCAGACACTGACGGAAAAAATCGCAAGGGACAAACTAGTGGTCTCAAAAGGGATATAGAGAAAAGTGCAGGCAACGCAGGGCCAGGGGCATGGAAGGGAAATCTGTGCAGGTGCAAAAATTACAGAATAATTAAGAGCTACCAAAGGGGGTAAAGATAAAGGGCTAGAGAAGGTGTTCCTAAGCTGCCCAGGAACCAATCCCATCTCCACTGTGAGGTCATATTCTGTTGAATGTTGAAAGAAGAAAGAAAATTTCCCCATACCAGTGCTTCAGGATCCCAGTGGTGTGTTCTGTCATGTAGAAAGATAGTGATCAATTAGAATAATTTAAGAGTATTGAAATGCATGGTAGATGGTCTTTCCTATTCTCATCCAGGGGCCAGAAACACGGGCCCCATGCCTTCCACCCTCACTTCCTGAAAGATTAGGAAAATAAGGCCACTACACAGCAGCTCCTACATCTCATTTCACCAATTTGAAATCTCAAGCTTCTTTGTAAATAGGTGAGAGTTCTTATGTGAAACTGACACTGGGGGCGGACTCCCCAGCCAGTTGTGGAGGAGCCCTTGTCTCATCTCTGTTAAGCTTTATAGATTTCCTTCTTTCATATAACGTGTGCGGAGACACTCTTTGGAGCTCTGTTTCCAGTAGGCCAAGAAGAATGAAGTGCTGTAGGTGCGGTCTCCATAGTGGAGGGCCAGCACTCTAGTTGTTCCTAGTGGTGAATATTCCTCAAGCACCCTCATCAGTAAGAAGAAGGGGGCCCATGGAAGACATAGATATGAGATGCACAGCATAAGCAAGCAGGTGTTACCATAGCAACAGACATATTAGACACTGCAGGTTCCTGAAAGCTGTCTGATAAGGTATTATTAAATGAAGCCTCCTCAAAACGCACTCCATTTACAACTGAACAGAAAGATGTTATGTAGAAAGTAATCTGTTTCCATTTATCAGGGTGGAATTTACTTTTAGTGGGACAGAACCGAACTCAAGCTAAATCCTGAGACTTTGGACCCAGACAGCAAAAAATATTTACCAGAATTTACAGCTGTAAATACCCCTGACACGCCCCTTGTCTGCCAGGAATCATCTATTTGGGAGATTTTGCAAGCTTTTCCTATTCTGCAGCCAACGGCAACTAACTCAGTCAACCATTTGGA